GAGAGAGAGAGAGAGAGAGAGAGAGAGAGAAAGAGAAAGATAACGGAAGGAAAGGGGGGGGGGGCGAAGAAGAGATCAGAACATGGCCCATGACGTAAACAGTTACCGCCCTAGAAGGGAGACAATCGATAGAGAAAGCCGGTGAGTTTGTCACACGCTGCATGATGCCAGGTGGTCCCTCACTACACACGTCCGTAGGGATGTAAAATAGAGCAAAACGCAGACGCCAAAACTTTGAGGCATAGAAAAGGTGCAAATTCGCTACGACCAACACAGAACATAAATAAATAAATAAATACATACGTAAATAAGTAAATGAATCAATGAATAAATAAATAAATTTAAAAAATCAATCAATCAATCAACAAACTTTTCGGACCCAATGGAAACGTGCGTGCGAGGACTCAATATTTACGAATCATAATAGTGTCTGATGCAGCTTGTACGCAAGAATAATTTTACATAAAGTGCGATTGTTTTAATTTTAAAAAGGGATTGCAGTATAAATACATGTATAAGCAGTAGTACATCAAAGAAATATAGGTTTACTTTCCGGATTTATCCAACAAATCGGCAAATCAGACTGAAGATAGGTAGACCACCAGGTACACAACTCAAAGATTGCTTATTCTGTTGTCTGGCGCTAAACGCCTTACTGGCGCCGGTGACCTGGTTCGAATCCTCAACGGACCGCTCTTTGCGTTTTGCTTTTGGTAAGAGTTTTACGGCGCTCGCAACTACATAAGGACATATCAGCGTGCGGGACACATTAAACATTTAAAGTTTGGTAGGAATTTTTTTTAAAATTTTTTTTAAATTTTTTTTTTTTTTGGGGGGGGGGGGTGCCCAATTCTATCATCTGGCGCTTTTGTGTTTGGTAATAACAACCAACTGTGCAGCATTTTGAGTTTTGAAATTAGCTGTTAGTCTTAGAGTAAACATACAGACAGGAAATTGTTTTACATGAAATAAATACACGAGTAAATAAGTAAAACAAAATTTCAAAAGTTTATTCACTCTAATAAGTTTATTTTAGCAAGTTACTAATCTAAGTGTTGCCATAGCCCCAACTGGAGATGGCTACTACAACTGGTTAGTAGTTTGTTTAGATCATCTTAGTCTTATTAGTATCTAAACTACTGGGCCAAGACAAGTTGGTAGGAGGGAACAGAAATAGATACAAATTTTGCTTTTGTATGGGGGGGGGGGTGGTTTAGTGTTTGCATCTGTATGTTTAGTCTTTCCTTAATATGAGTGCACTTACGTTGATTTTTGTCGGACATACCCTGTTTTGGAAATTTCGAATTTTGCCGGGGTGGTGGCCGAAGCCTACTCTCGATTTTAGACCACCAAGGGATCTTTAAAGTGCGTAATTTGCACATGCGACCTCCGAGATTTTTCGCCCTTGTCCGAGAAGGCTAGGTGCAGATCTTTCCTACCAGAAGATCAGGGGTGTGGCTGAAAGACAGCAGTAAGAAGGAGCCAAGGAGAAGCGGTAGAAAGGAAGAGAAAGAGTCAGGAGCCCACAGGAGGGGGCAAAGGAGGTGAGGGGGTGGGGGCAGAAAGTGGAGACGAAAGCAGACGACAGAACATTGGGAGAGAGCAGGAAAGGAGGTGAAGGAGACAATTTTAGAAAAGAAAATGTTTCATGTCGCTACCCGGATTCGAACCCGGGACCTTTGAATGAGAGGTGAACACTTTAACCACTAGGCCACGAGAGCCCCCGACTGCTCTTGAATGTGAGTTGTTCAGTAGTTTCATTATTCAAAGATCTCTACTCAATTAGTCTGTACTGCCAAGAAGGACGTTAATTAAACTCGTAGCGTTTACAAGAGCATTGGAACGGGAAGCTTTCAGATCTGCCCAATTTTTCAAAAATATGAAAGAAAAAATTATTAAAGCCGAGCACTATCAAAGACGCGCTCTTTTTCACGTGATATCGACATATCTGGTTAGCAATTACCAATAATATATCTAAATCTTCCAACGACTTAATCCTCATATTAGTTTTATTGGGCTTTGGGTTTTAACGACTTACTGAGAGTAAAAAAATCATTAAGCAGTGTCAATATTAACATAAAAATGTGGCAGTTCTGAAGACCAGTTGTATTTGTATATAACAGGAATTTAACACGCTTCACTCACTTAGTCAAATTGACTCACCTGGGAAATAGTTTTCGTGACACTCAAACTTATGGGAATAGTACGTAGTGATTTTCATCAAAGGGAATTTAACCCTTCGATGGTATTGGCAATCAAATTGTGATATTGGGTTCAGACAGTGTACGGCTTTGATACATTTTTATTTTTCGAAAGTTCGCGGCTCTGATGCTTTCCCATTGGGATCAATACCGTACCAATTACGCTAAACAAGATACTTGACATTTTGAAGTCGGGAGTTCGTGGCATTATGTAAAAGTAAAGAGGGCAGAAGGAAAAGGAAAAAAAATAAGGACGACAACAAATTAAATGTCACAGTCGTAAATTACATCGTCAACGTCATTCTCTGAACTTTTTAGTCCGTCATTAAGAAAT